ACATCTTTGTTCTGGTACACAAGCCTTTACACTGAGACAGTTCTCTTTTACTCTCCGTATGTGTTTCCGTAGAAATGAAATAGATGAAGATGACGATTACTTGCCGTTTAAAGTTAAAAAATACAAGAGAAACATAGTAAAAACTACTAATTCTGCAACTATAGAAAAAGAGCACGTCGTTTTTATAAAAAACGAAGAAAAATACTAATAATTTCTTTTGAAAGAGAAATAACTGCAGAGGAACACGAAAAGGAGACAAAGTTACTAAATACGTTTCTTTTCTTTTAACTTTAACCAGAGCATCGGCAGAGAAATTTTGTCGATATACCGTTTCTTAGAATATTCTTTATTGTTTGATGCTAAACACGAATCTGATGTTTGGCTGTTCTCATAGATTCTTCTTATATGAATCTACAGAATTTGAATTTCTAGATAGTCATTTCAGCCCGATACATTCTGATACTACAGGCTTATAGTATTTCCAAGTGAATTTCTGATCTGAAATATTCGCAAAAGTGTTCGGGGTCTATGCGCGGAAATGCCGTTCTTGATAACTTTTTATTCTTCAATCTATGATAGGCTGTCCATAAATAATGTCTTGACCTTCACCGAAGAAAGATACTAAGCAGAATTCAACAGCTACCACCGTTTCAAACGAGAGGGTTCTATCTCGATTATGAATGCCACTAGGTGCATCCAGAATAGTGCTGCATCGAGATGCAAATGATTAAAACAGTGCCATTCCATCAGGACGAATGCAGTAGTTCATAGCAAAGGTAGAGGAGGACAGAGAAAAGCAAAGCCCACAATAAAACTAATACAACTTTCGAATAAATAAAACCTAAAGACTTAATAACTTGGAAACCTGTGAAGCATGATAATTCTCGTATTGAGAAACTTTTTGTTAGACGGTTTTCCCACAAAAGGAAATTCTCCATCCTATGTCGAAGCAGCCTAAGAGTGATTTAGCATTTATCATTAACCACTGAGAAAAAGGTCTCTTAATGCCAGAATCGGTTTGATAGCTGAATTCAGAATGTAGCTTCTTTCGGTGTCTTGATTGAAAATGTCAAACTATCGGTGCGGCACCGTTTCTATCCGTCACAGCTGATGTCGCTTATGAACATCAATGTCAGGAGAGAGAAATGGTGTAGGTAATACTATGATGAAATGCGTCTTTTCCTAAATTTCTTGCTTTAAAATTTATTCATCGTTTTCTCTTTAGAAGTAAAAAGAAAGGAATGTGTTATATGCTGAATATCTGTCAGAACAGTTCCAATCGGGCTATATTAATTATGTTAACATTATTTTTCATAATCAGTACATTTCTATATACATTTTACAAGAACCCTACATCTCTATATTCAATTTATAAGATTAAAATGTATTATACAGAAACGCTGTTAGACGACACTCGTCTTAATGATACAAAAGTACGAGGAACATCAGTAAATCAGTTATTATTATTTTACGAAGAACAGTTAAAGCGTCGACAAAAATCAGTATTTATACCGGAAGCACATGATCAGTATTTAATTATCATACTGAATTCTTCAAATAATTTTATGAAAATAAAATGTTACGAAAATGACACATTGTTCTACGAAACTATTGCTAATACAACTGTGATACACGTACAAAAACCGTTGAATGAAGATAAAACATATCGTTTTACGTTTTCAATACATGAACAGCAGAACGAAACTGAATTCACATGGCCACAGTGGCCACTGACACCAAAATGTGCACAAGACTATTTGATTTATTTTCAAAACGGTGTTACTGGTGATAAAAATGAAACTTTGTTAGTTAATAATATGTCACTACCATGTTCAACTGAACGTCTTCTTTACGTTAAAAAAAAGCAAAAATTATTTATGGAAGAACAGAATGCAGTTTCATATTGGCTAGATATTCAATATGAAGCAGGACGCTTTCAACTCTCTAATTTTAACTTTGCTTTTACTGGTAATAATAATACCACGTTAAAAAGACGTCGTAAACAACCATTTGAAATAACGTCGAATACATCTATTTGTTCAAACGAATTTCAGAGTTGGATTGATAACTATCAACAATGGCATACAAATATGAGCAGACAATTGAGAGTGTAAGTCCTTCCGTATCCATTTCAAGCTCTAGATGTACTACTAAATGTTCTTAGTTTATGTCTTTCTCGGTTCTAGACATTCAAGCTTCACATCAGAACAACAGATTGAACGTATTCTGCAATTAAACATTAGTTTTTTATCTTACGAACATCGTGGTTCCGGTGTGGCCGATCGTCTTACACATTATATAACATGTTATTTAGTTTGTCTACTTACCGGACGTTATCTTATCTATAATCAGCCGGAACAATGGCCAGAATATCCATATGTAGTTGAATCAAGTTTAGATTATAAATCTGTATATATTACACCTGAGTGGCACAACGCAAAGAAACGTCTGGGTGAAATTAAACGTTATTGGTTCAGTGTTGAACGTCCAACAAAGGATTATGATTATGAACAACAATTCAGAGAGAGAATTGTACAATTTATTGGACATACAGGTACATGTAGTTGACACATTTCGTCTATGAAAATTCATTCCATCATCATCATAATTCTCTTCTTCTTTCCTAATCTATGAAGGCAATACAATGCAAACAATTGATTCACCGAACAGTAAATACCATGACTTTCTAACAAAGAAAATAAACATGTCTCCTGACACTCTATTCGGCTGTCTTTATCATTCTCTCATAACACTGCGTTTATCAAAATTAATTCAAATGACTACTGATAACAATAAATCTTCGAATACAACGGTTGGCTATACACATCGTCAACTGTTACAAATCCTTCTAAATCCAACTTACTATCCAATTGGTATTCAAATTCGTACAAATGACGATGTATTTAAACAAACAATTGAATCCATGTATAAACCGGAACAATTCTCTGCATATTTTAACTGTGCACAACAACTCAGTCAACAAAATTCAAATTCAGTTACATATCTAATGTCAGATACATCACAATTACGTCGTGAAGCATTGAAATATTTTAATAATACAAACACCTTTCATCTCATAGCACATGTTGATCGTGTCCTTCATATGCAAGTAACAAAACATTTAGTTGAACAAGCGCTTAGTAGTGCCCTGTTCGATGCATTTCTCTATATGATGTGTGAACACCATATTATATGTGATGATAGCGGTTACGGACGATTTGCAGCATTTGCCGGTTTGAAACGACGTAGTATATTTGCATTTACCGGTAGTAGTCAGAATACAAATCGATTAATATGTTCAAATAATGGTGGTACGCTATTGAAAGAGGCCGGCAGACGTTGGTCCGGTATTAAATGAAAGTATAATTCTGTACTGTAACAAAACTACCGAGAGATTAGCGGCCAATAATAATAATGTTTACGAATGCCACTGTTCCATTGTATGCATTCAACATTGGCGTACAGGTAGTATTTGTTTGAAGTGTTATTAACAATTGTCTTGCTTAGTTTGTTAAGTTCAATGCATTTGCATTATTGTTGTTTACATACTGACAAAGCATTGGCAACTGTTAAATGACCATTGTTCCCAGTACCATGTTCATGGTCATGATGTCCGTGTCAGTGATCTCCTCTACCAAATGCCAAAGCATCTTTGACCAGACAGAGTATTACCATGCAAAACTACGAAAGAGGAAAAGCGGCAGATAATAATTCTGCTATACACTTATGCTCATGAAATATGTAGATAACATTATGAGAATTGAGATGTTATTAATTTCAGATCAATAAACGGAAAACTTGCTATGATAATTCGAAACATACCCCACGAAAAAATTTTCAGCGAATAAATGTGTCGAAACGCAAACTTTATTTTAAAAAATGCTGTTTGTGCGTTTAAATGCGTCGGCTTGTTTTGCAACGCGTTGTTTTAATTCGCCCGTTTTTTATCAGGAAATACGTGTTTTTCTTTGAAGTGAGAATGAGGTGTCATTCGGACACAGTATAGCATTCGCCTCATAGTAGTATTGTCTACACAAAATTCACTGTCCATGTTAATTCATGTTTGCTTTATAACTCTTTATAACGTTAAAATTGTGTTTTACACACTTTATTATTTATATGTACATCTCTAACACATTAAAAGCACATAACGGTTCTTTCCATTTTCTTTTTTCAATATATATAATGACTTTTCAAATGATGATGTCATTGACTGCTTTTGTACTGAATATTTACTTTTTTCTGTATAGTACATCTAACCTTAACAAATATCAGCGACCGATGTGTGTAGTTCTACTGGAATAGTCATAACAAAAATGATTATTTATTCTAAAATGCACTCTAAAAGAATTTCATCGATTACTAATCGGACTTTTACAGATATAGACGATTTGCGGCCAATATCCACGAAACTTAGGGATTTCATTTTTTTGTAATTTTCCTGAATTTTGGTCTGTAAGTTTACTATTCACTTTACTCTCAAAGGCACTTTATGCTCTCTGCTGATCACAAAACTAACATCCCTGAGTGTGGACCTCGGATAAAAGTCTCGATTTGAAGCTCTATCCTCCAAGTAAGTAAAATTTGTCTTACTCAAACTATAGGGTGCTAACGTGAGACTTCGTTGATTAAGTTTTTATTTTAAAACGAGACTAAACCGTTAACGTGATTTTGTAGAGCGCATTCGAAAGTATAGGAAAACATACTTCCAGGTCATGTGAGTGCCTTGAGTGAGGAAGAAAAATGTTACAAACTAATTCTAAAGTACAATCTGTACGTCGTCTTTTTCAAATTATTTTGCTCCTAAATAACTTGATCTGAATCCTTAAGGAAGAATGTACTATTATCAGTGAAGTATGGGCTTTCTTTAAATGAAATAGCGAAACTCTTTGCATTCTTCCCTATTGAGTTATAGTCAAAACAATACTTGATTAATACAAGTGTCACAGCGTGACGAAAACACACTTTTTTTAAAAAATTTTCAAAACAAGTAAAGAACCTCATCGAATAACATCATATATCATAGAGAACTTTTAATGCTCTATCCAGTGCACCACTTAGAGTTTTAAAAAGATTCCATCTTACGGCAGTTTTTCGTGACGCTGTGACAAAAACTTAATCTCTTGGTGATTTTCGTAGAAAGCCAACTAGCTTTCTACCAAATATCAAGGTTGCCTTTTACTGTTATAAGTCAACCTTGACATTTAGGACTTGAATTATTGTATAGATATCTACAATAACAAGAAACAACATCGACATCGATGTTAAATGTGTTTTTTGTCGTAATTTTACGGTCAAAACTGTGAAACTAGTCTAAAGTGTTACTGATAAGTTATTTTTCTGCTTTTTCTGCGACTCGCTTGAAGTAAAACTCAACGATTCGTGCGTATCTGGAATAAGCGTCAAATTCTACATTAAATGATGTATGATTCATCTCTTTACTATGAATGACCATTATTTTGTGTCATTCAACATTAGTGATGGGCCCAAATAACACGAAATGAATGAATCGCGTAATTTTCTTGCCTATTCTGTACGACTATATTGATTATGTCTTTTTGTTTGTTCACGACTGCAATGCAATATAAATAATGGCTTAATTTCGTACAGGAAATGAAAAAAAATTATGTATTTCTTTCCATATAGTCGTCAGAGAATTTCTCTTTTTTTCTTTCATTTTTGACATAGCACTTTCGGCCCATCACTATTCAACATGGTATAAATAGAGAGTGATTTACGTAGAGATTTTTGCTTTCATCATACATAAAGTAAAGTAATTAAAAAAGAGATATTAATCTTTTAATTATTTCACCGAATATTTATAACGATAAGTAAGTATTTTCATTTTATTAAGTTTAAGCGTGTTGCATGGCTAAAACAGGAGCGAAAAGAGCGAAGGCATATCGAGAGCGGATAAACAAAGATAAAGTCAAACATGAACAAGTTAAGATAAAAGCTCGTCAACGTAATATTTCTATTCTTAGAAAATTAACAGGTAAAGCATTAGAAAATTTTCGTGTTAATACTAATTACCGTCAAAGAAAATGTCGTTTAAAGAAACATAAACGTTTAATTAATAATAAACCATCATCATTTCAAAATTGTCAATCTTTTGGTAAAGCTATGAAAAAAGTAACATCTGCTTTACAATGCAATAAAAAAAAGAAAGATGTTATTCAACATCTAGCTCAAAAATATAATCTTGTTCCAAAATCTGTTCAACAACGTACATGTGCCAATATATCTGATCAGATTAAAAATGCGGTTCATAAGTTTTATTTAAAAGATGATGTTTCTTATCAATTACCTGGTAAACGTGATACTATTGTTGTTAAAAATGATGATAACACTAAATAACATGTCAGAAAAGAATAAGTTTTGAATTATTTATAGAAGAGAATAAAGGAATAATTATTTCTCGTTCGTCGTTTGCTGATTTAAGACCTCCATTTGTAGTTCCAAAAGCAGCGCTAGCTCATAGAATATGTGTGTGTATCTATCATGAAAATGCTAATCTAATACTGAAAGCAATTGATAAATTTGTTAAAGGGAATGTTTGTTCATCTTTACAACAATTTACTGGGACTTTAGTTTGTAATACTGTCAATCAAGAATGTATGTTTCCTGCATGTCCATTATGTGAAAGTAATTTTCAAGAGAAAGTTATTGATAATGTTGTAAGTGCAGCAACTAGAATTAAATGGTGGCAATGTGTCAATATACACGGACGTGCAGAAAAAAAGGAATTTGAAGGATCAGTTGATGAAGCTGTTGAATTGTTGAAATCCAAAGTTAAATATTTTCTATTTCATGTCTATATTAAGCGTGAACGAAGTAACTATTTCGAACAGTTAAAGTCAGAAGTAACAGATGAAAAAGTTGTTATACAAGTTGATTTCGCTGAAAATTTTGGATTGAAAGAGCAAGACGAAATTCAAAGTGCTCATTGGAATAGAAAAACTCTAT